GGAATTTTTATGGATGACGATGCGCTATGTCACCGAGCCACAATTGTTCGCGATTTGTTTGAAGAACATTCTGGACAATTCGAGCCATCCAGATCGCCCGACATAAGTCCCGACGAATATTTGTGGGACATAATCAAGAGGTCAGTTCGTGCACAAAATGTTTCCCTGGTAACACTTTCAAAATTATAGACGGCTGTAGAGGCAGCATGGCTCTATTTCTGCAGGGACTGCCAACGACTTGTTGATTCCATATCATGTAGAGTTGCTGCGACTTCGCCGGGCAAAAGAAGGGCTGACACATATTGGGTATCCCATGACTTTTGTGACCTCAGTGTATTAGCAACGTTATTCTAGTTCTGCACATTTATCAAAAATAATTTTAAAATCGTCTATTAGATATTTTAATACGAAATCAACTATATTTTTTCCAGAGTGATGATCTAACGGCAGGAATGTTAAGAAACGTTCGACGGGATATTCAGTTTCAATAGATATATAACGTGCAATAATCGTTTATTCTTCAATATGTGCAACATCAGGTGTAGGATCAACAGATTGACGACAATAAGTAACTTCATTAATATAAAATTAATTTTCGAACTTTATCTGCTATTAAAATAATTAACTCTTCACTTATTGTTTTTGATTGATACTAGTTCTAGTAATTCTAAATAATTACAGTTTTGAGAAGATTGAAATTTTCATTGTGACCATGAAATGGTAAACCTCGTTCCACTAATGTCATTATCACTTCAACAACACATTTTAACACTCATTTCCAGTATTCCTGATCGCATTTCAATCAATTTTCAATTGCAGTAAGATTTTTCCTTCTTGTGATATAAGCGCACACCGCTGTCCGATGTTCACCTGAATGTTCGTGTGTTGGGGTTTCTCCAATCATTGTTGATTTAAGATTTCTCCAATCATTGTCGCTTTAAGATTTATCCAATCATTGTTGATTTAAAATTTCTTCAATCATTGTTACTTTAAGATTTCTCCAATCATTGTTGATTTAAGATTTCTCCAATTATTAAATTTTGTATTTCATAGTGCAGACGTAGAAGTAAAAAATAGTCTCCATATAAAACAATTCACGTGTCTCATTGGAGGAAAGTACATTAACCTTTCTCGTGTATACTTTTCGGCGTTTTCCTTTGTTCTACAAAAAAGACCGCGGAACGATATTACGTTTGAATTTTGACTATTTGTTTTCAATTCTCGACCGAATCATTCAAGAGCCGACTCTTTTTTGAATCCAGAGGAATTTTCATTTTGGTAAAAATCCTTTGAATAGAGTGGGTGCAAGTAATGGGAGGACACAGAAGGACGGACGTTTGAGAAAAAAGGACAGCTTTGAATTGAATTGAATTTGCCTTATTTTACGTTTTTAATAAAGCTTCTGTATTAAAGGAATAACAAAACTTGGATTCTGACTAAGCTACGAATTAGGGAATATACTTCATATAGGAGCAAGAAAAAATACTCTTTTAACAGTATCCACAAAATGAGTTTTTCTGTCCAAAAAATCGGCATATTTCGCCGCAGCATCGGCGTCTTCTATACTACGTATTTTACTTCCTAAATATGAGGCTTAACCGTAAAGTAAGGTCACGAGGAAAATGCATTTTCGCGCAGTCCAACAATAATGGAGTGTAGTCTGGTTTTCCCACTCTAAATCCCCATCTGATTGAGATCTCTACGACTGTCTCGGCGGTGGAGTTTTCACTCGTCGCATCCGCTGGGTGTCAATTACGCTCTGTATAATTCGTTTTTTGTGTGCGAAGAACAGAATCCTGGTAGACATTTATTCTCAGTAATGTGATGTGACTGAAAACAGTATATGCGCGCAAAAAACATGCGCAAATTGTCCACAGGACGAACAGACTTCCTGAAGAGGGTGCCGGTTTCAAAGAATTGCCGAAGTGGAAAAAGTAATGCTTGAAGATTGACGATTTCGGGAGCTCTGTAACATGATATCTCAACTTTTGATATTTTGGCTGAAGAATTGGGAAACCACATAGTCTGCGCAGAGTGGGCCACAAAAATTCGTACGCTTCATTCTTTTGCATCACGCAAACGCTCGCTTTTACACCGCCCGTGCTATAACGCCCATCGCTTTCATTGCCCAATTTTGATGGGATACTGTCACAAACACACGCTATTGACACAACATAGCCCTTAGAGACTATCATATCTTCCCTGAATTGAAGAAACACGTGGGTGGAACGAATTTCGGTGCCAAAGAGAAGCTGAAAGAAGATGTCGTGCGCTACCTGCGCGACGTGGCGGAAGAGTTCTATGATGTGGGAAAAAGAAAAAAAGAAAAAGAAAAGAAAAGGAAAAAAAAACAACAACGGAAGACCGCATGCAAAAATGAGCCGATCACAACAGTGATTATGTAGAAAAATAGAAACAAGCTTTCCAAAAATGTACGTGTCAATACAAATAAACGTGTTTTACTCTGTTTAAAATCATTGGAGACCTTATTTTGCGTGATTCAGTCCTGGTTGCACATTCAGGATCCTATGATACAGTACATTATGTTATTCATGTGTGCAAAAGAAAATAGTGTGAACCCTATTCAAAATTATGAAAAAAACAAGTTTTTTTGTCATTTTTTCCATAAAGGTAGTCCAAATATTACAAATTAAAAATTGTTCCCTGATGTTATTATTAGAGTCACTTATCTAATGATAATGAAAGAAGAGAGAGAAAAAAAACCTAATTTAAGTGTTATTTAGGAGAATTTATTATTTGCGTGCACAGTCATAATTTTGCATTTCACCCCGTGTGACATCTACCGCTGCCTAAACTACATTTTTCACATTTTCTCAACATTTTGATCGACTAATTGTAGAACTGAAATATGACTTAAACAATATTATAGAAGAGTAGAATCTCATCCTAACCAAAACCTAGAAAATGTCGTTGAAACATTTGGAGACACTTTCGAGAAATTATCATTAGTGTGTTTCTGAAAATGTACATTTTGAAGCTCATTTACATCCAAAACTTTTGAGTTTTAAGGAAAATTCATAAAAAATCATTTGAAGTACTTCCAGTCATAAATGCAATAATATGTACAAATCGCTGGTAATGTACATACAAACAGCGTGAAAAATATTTCAAAAATTTCATTGGTGTAATTTTTGAAGAAAAAAAAAAGGAATACATCAATGTGGAATTTATGTCCTGTTATTCAGCCCATTTAGTACTAAACATTCAAAAAATTTAAAGACAACAAATTTTGGATTCGTTTTCGAGAACATGATGTTTGAGCGTTTCGGAAAATGCGGAATTTCGAGCTCATTTTCACAGAAAACTGGCGGGTTGTTTCAACAGATTATTGAAGTAATATCAATTTATTGGTTTTAACGCAATGTTCATTATTTAATATACTAATTGCAAATAATTTCGAGAAATTATGTGCTGTATTGTTGCACCATTTGTTACATGAGAGGAGATAGTTCATTTTTTTATTTTTTTTATTTTTTATTTCTGTGCATTTGTAACTACATTGCCATTTTTTTATGTTCTTGCTTTCAATTGATTTTGTAGAGCGTGAACGTTCTCAAACTCGTATCGAACGCTTCGAATTACAATTCCTTTACGAACGGTACGATGTGGGATAATAGCCAAAATGTGTAGCTGATTTGCATTCGTAAACAATTTGTATAACACGAGTGCTAATACGTTATTATCTAATCTTACCAAAACGCTAGTTTCAACTTGAATTCAATTTTCCAAACGGTATGGGTTGGTTACTTGTCTACGAATGTAAGAAAACGTGCACAGAATGCACTTCTCAAAGTACGATACATAAAGCGTTAAGTAAATAGTTAATTACAATTTAATGTATAAAAATCTATGTTTGTTGGTTTGCTCGTATTTTATGCGCTGCCGTATTGGTCATCTGATTTAGGAAAAACTTTGTCAACTTATTGCGTGCATTTGCGCGAACAATATCGATATAGTTCAATGGGAATGTGTATCTGTCTGTTGCACAAAGACGTAAAATGGGAACGTTGTTGATGATGATTTTATGCGTTTATGCTGACTAGCGCCGCTGAAGAGAAGCTCAACGCAACCTGCCGCACTCTCAAGTGGTAAGCGTGTCTTCTCTGCATGTTCTGTCCCTGCTATTGTGAAATACCGGTCAGAATTATTACATGAACGTTATCTCGGTCAAGTCAATCAAATTTTTCCTAGACAGTACCATAGCAAATTCATGCCCTAGCTTGAGAGAGAACGTTTTAACAATAGGATACTTGACAACCATGACCAAACCAGGACATAGAACAAACGAATACTGGCGAGAAAGTCTTTTATCTATTAAATAGTTTACAAAGAGTAGAGAAAAACGTGATTAACAGTCACGTGACCAGTAGCGTGTGAAGTGTAATACATTGCAATAGCGAAGAATTGCCGGGCACAATAGTAATGAATACTTTAATCAATATATGAAGGATGGGAATGAACATGATTAGGCGTTGTATGAGTTTAGACAATTGGAAAATAGAGAAAAATATGAATATTACATTTTGCTTTATTCATATTTTATTCATCATTCAAATGTTTCATTAAACTTATATTGATGAATTGATGACATAAATGTAGTTATCCCCTGCGTCCAACATTATTTAAACAGTGTGTATGTACTGTACTTGTAAATATCTGATTAATTTTGACACACTCTAAATTCAGTCCTTCAAAAATAGATTACCTGGCCTCGAAGAAATGAGGAATTCAATTGTATTTCATTCGTTTAATTCATCAACATACTTTGTTTTCAAAATTAATGAGAACAATCGGTTCTCATCCGCACCAGCAGAATAGAAACAGCGTTTTCCAAAAAATATACATGTGACGTTTTAAAATTCAAATGTGCTGATGAAATATTAGTTTAAAAAGCCACTACCGTTGCCCTAGTAAGTTGATTCGTATAACCATGCCATGGGCCGCAAAGCCAAAAGCGAAAACGTAATTTTCAATCTCACCTGACCTCACCCAGTATTTCTTGCCATCTTGGTCGGAGTCGAGACTTGTGCTCGGTCCATACCCGTCCAAGTCGCTCGCAGAGCCACTGCTCGGAGCCTCTGGAACATAAAACGATGCTATGACTTAAAACAGGAGTAGACGGTAGTTATTATGTTCCCGAAGAATAAATGTAAAATTATTTATATTTTTTAAATACGTTGCAATTTTACTATTTTTGTATTGTTCTATTCAAAAGATATTCGAAAATGAATGAGAAACAGTAAGAAATTCAATATCATGTTCTCGTTTCCTTTCCGAATTCCTTGGTGCACAATCACTCGCCTGAAAGTTATCGACATGGCGAGTGTCGAGAGGAGGCGAGAGGCGAGGCGAGGCGAGGCGAGGCGAGGCGAGGCGCGAGAGGCGAGGCGCGAGAGGCGAGGCGCGAGAGGCGAGGCGCGAGAGGCGAGAAGTGAGGCGAGAGGCGAGAAGTGAGGCGAGAGGCGAGAAGTGAGGCGAGAAGTGAGGCGAGAAGTGAGGCGAGAGGCGAGAAGTGAGGCGAGAAGTGAGGCGAGAGGTGAGGCGAGAGGTGAGGCGAGAGGTGAGGCGAGAGGTGAGGCGAGAGGCGAGAGGGGAGGCGAGAGGCGAGAGGGGAGGCGAGAGGAGAGGCGAGAGGAGAGGCGAGAGGCGAGGCGAGGCGCGAGAGGCGAGAGGCGCTTACCCGTGCGGTAGTGCAGCTTCTCGTAGGGGTCGGGGCCGCTGGCGCGCAGCTCGGGCGCGGGCGCGGGGGCGGTGGGCGTGGGCGTGGGCGGGGTGGCGGGCGTGGTGGCCGAGTCGTCGTCGGAGCGCACGCCCGTGGACACCGCCGCCGCCGTCGCCGCCGCTGCGCGCGCCCGCTCCTTGCGCTTCTTGTGGCGCGCCAGCACCGCGTAGTCCTCGAAGGACAGCGCGTGGCCCAGCTGCGGCAGGCGCAGCTTCTTGCTGAGCGGGGAGAAGCAAAATCACGTAAAAAGTACTGTTATTCTCCGATTAAAACAGTGTCCCTTCAAGGTCACGATCCAGCAGGAGTGGGGGACACTGTCATCCAATCGCCAGATTCGTTAAGACTTATTTTTTTGATATTGATGATCCGTCTTGGATGAGAGTGTTCCGCTCTCCTGCCAGATCGTAGGGAAACTGTTTTAATTGAAGTATACTACTGCAATCGTTAAAAGAAATCAGCTAACAAGAAAACTATAAATTAGATTCACTTAAATCTACAGTATTAGAATAAATGTTACTAACTTCTAGTGTATACAGGGAATCGACTTTCATGCAACGAAAAGACACGCGGGACAATTTCAATGCAGGCAACTTATCGTTCACGGGTGTTTGACAGGAAATGTTCTGACGCAGTCCAAGAGATTTCGGAGAGTTTGAACAAATGTCACGAGTGAAATTTCATTATATGAGATTTCCAACCGCACGTTCGTTGTTAATATATGATCCTTTAGCTTCTCTCCGTCCCCCGCTTCAAGCACTAGAAGTTTGTAACGTTCAATATGAGACACCGACCCGAATTAACATAGCCATAACAAATTTGCATTGGTATTTTCAAAATTATTGATACTTTGTGAACAATAAATTGCAGTATCGCTTATTTAATTAAATTATATTGAAGGGCGATGTGTGGGTGGATGTTGATTCATTGCTAGTGATTTCGGACGCCTCAACCGATAAGGTCGTTAGTCCCATAAGTGTAGTGCATGATTTTTTTCTCGGGGGGGGGGCGGTGACCTTCCCCCGCTGGATGGCGAGATCCGGCGTCGACGTACCGTCGGCTAGAGTGGTCTCCCCAACCAGGTATCTCCCACTAGCGCGGCACCATCCTAGACGGGACAAGGTCTTAGCTCCCGACAGGTCTCTCGGCATGTGTAGTGGATGTTAGTGTACGTGTGTAAGTAAGGGGTGAGGATAGGACAAGGAAGAGGTAGGAAAGATTTCACCCGGTCCGTGGCCCGTTGTTGAGGGTACTGCTCCTGCATGGTGTTGATCGGAGAAACCACGTAAAACTACCGATGTGAGCAGCCGTCCGCTAGAATTGTCCTCCAGACTGCGGCTGAATTAGACCTAGCTGACAAGCTAGCGTGGAAAATTCAGCCACCGTCCGGAGTGTAACCCTAGGACCTCCCGACCAGAGAGGTACTGCAGTGACATCAATTAAATCGTTTATTTTAGAAACCTGTCCAAATCTAAAACACGCATTAGTGATGGATTATTGTTGCAAGAGGACAGACACATCGTTTAGTGATTATTTATATGAAAAATATTCATTTATCAACTGTTTTAATAAGTAAAAATATTTTGATATATGAAAAGTTGGGAGACATTTTCTCAGGTATCTTCCACCAGCAGGATACCACCGCAGCCGGGACAAGGTCTTAGCTCCCGACAGGTCTCTCGGCATGTGTAGTGGATGTTAGTGTACGTGTGTAAGTAAGGGGTGAGGATAGGACAAGGAAGAGGTAGGAAAGATTTCGCCCGGTCCGTGGCCCGTTGTTGAGGGTACTGCTCCTGCATGGTGTTGATCGGAGAAACCACGTAAAACTACCGATGTGAGCAGCCGTCCGCTAGAATTGTCCTCCAGACTGCGGCTGAATTAGACCTAGCTGACAAGCTAGCGTGGAAAATTCAGCCACCATCGAAAGTGTAACTCTAAGGCCTCCCGACCAGAAGTACTACGGTGACATCAATCGTTTATTTCAGTCTAAAACACGCATTAGTGGCGGATTATTGTTGCAAGAGGATGAACACATCGTTTAGTGCATATTTATATGAAAAATATCCGTTTATCAACTGTTTTAATAAGTGAAAATATATTGAAATCTGAAAAGTTGGGAGACTTTTTCTGTTTTCTCGAAATGAGGAATTTGAAGTTTGACCGGTTTCTGACAAAACGCTTCAATTGGCGCCCCAAGGCAGCTCTCCCGGTCGCTGCGGGGCGGGCGTGGGGCTCACCTGAAGACCTCGGCGGCGTGCGCGGCGTGGGCGGCGGCGGCGGCGGCGACGTGGGCGCGCTGCGGCGGGCTGTCGTCCTCGTCCTCGTCGGTGGTGGCGCTGGCGCCGCGCGCGCGCGCGGGCGCGGGCTCCGTGGCGGTGGTGGTGGTGGTGGAGGAGGAGAGCGTGTCGGTGGTGCTGAGGCTGAGGGCGGACTCGAGGCGCGTGGACAGCCCCGACAGCAGGTCGTTGCTGCCGGCCAGCACGGAGCGCAGGCGCGACTTGAGCAGGCCCCGCGTCCGCCCCACCAGCGAGCGCAACTGGTGGCCCTCGCCCGGTCCTCCCTGCCCCGCCCCCGGCCCGGCCGCCGGGCCGGTCCCCGGCCCCGTGCCCGGCCCCGTCCCCGGGCCGGCCCCCGGCCCCGCTGCCGAGTTCAGCAGGTCCACCATCGCCTAGCCCTGCAACACGCACAAACGCATCAGCACACTCGGCAGCTGCGATTTGACTCGACCGTTGTGGAAAGAGATGGGTGGGATAGTCCGATGCAACGATGTTTGCTCGTTCTGTGCAGCACCAGTTTGCGTCATGAATCACGTGACCAAAGCATGGGTAACATACCAGACCTTGGCCGCCATGCTGCATGGAGAGCGAGAAGAAAATTTTTGAAAGTGGCATAAAGTGACAAGTTTCAACGGTGACGAACCAAAATTAAGGTGTAATTGAAGTAAAATATATATTTTTTACAGTATTTAAAAAAATTGCTTCTTATATGTTTTAATGACTTGTAACAAGGTGATAATTTTGGCATTTAAAATTATCGCTAATATTGTGTCGCAAACTGGTACCTGTAGTTCATTACGCAACGCTATGTTCAATTGCATGTTTTTTAAACATTTTTTCTCAAAAACTACAATTTTGATTAAATTTTGACCTCGGATTGCGTAAAGAACGCGTACGAAAATGGTGCAGGTGTAATTTTCTTTGAAAATCTTATTGTTTTGAAAATCGCAAAAAATTTAAGTTTTTTCGATGTCTTCCTACAACTATAATTAGGAAAATAAATTTGGTTTTCTTAATGAAAGGTGTTCATCAAAAACATCGTTAAATAAGGTGAAGTTTAATTTTTCGATCATATTAGTATTTTTTGCGTAGTTTTCCTTCATACAGAGGCAATCATTTAATTTCGAACTATTTTCTCAGAAACGGCTCCACATTTTTTCTTTATTTTTTTACTTATATATCAAAGAAAGGTAAAAAAGTGCTGCTAGTCCCATTTTCGGCGCTCTGTCTGTATTTTCGAATACTGAAAAAAAATCGAAATGATAAATTCGAATTTTCCATGCTTCGTTTGAGTCAGTGTTATTACTCATTCGTTCCCTGATTAGCAAGCAGAAAAACTTAAGACACCTGTTATTTATGTTATGTAAAAGGGAAGTGATAAATAACGTATTATAGTAATCGTAAAGTTATTATAGTGTGATTAAAGTTAGTTTTTTTTTATTTGATAGGATTAGCACTAAGCGTTGGAAACTTTTGTAGTATTTGCCACAAATTTACATGTTTATTTGAATGAATAGTAATTTTTCTTTTACTATTTCATAGTATATTAACTTTTTCAAAAACAAACGCTCCAATTTGGCACAGTTTTTGAGGGCGAGTTGGCAGCAAAATACACATGTGTTAAAATTGATGTTCTATGGCAGTTTAAATATATTCTGAGCGTTACTAAAATAAAGTAAATTAAAAAATAATGTTTTTTTATTGCAGCTACTTTATTTACGTTTACCAGGCCTGTGCATATATGCTGGAGGGAAATATGGCAAGAAAAATCCATCTTTAAAAAAAGGAATGCACCATATATTTATAACCACTGAATTTTGTTAAAAAACATATATGGCAGACAATTGCTAGACATTACGTTTACATACGTTCACAAATATTTGCTTTTAAAAATACTTCGAGCGTAAAGAAATTCACTGTTTCTTATTTAACAACAACATTACACTCACACATTTTCTGGAAGAGGAAATATCGAATGCTTTCAATAGATCGAGTGCAACTCTCACAACAAAATCGTGAAAAAATGACAGCAGATTAGCGTTCATTCGGTTAATTATATGATTCCTTGAAAACTTTGTATTTATACTACAAAACCAATTAATAATAAGAGCTATAAAAATCTGCAGCCCACTACCTTTCATTTGAAACAAAAATCATGAAACTTGGTTGAGTGGAAAGCTCAAACTTGTTTCTAAACTAAAACCCTGATAAACATTTTTTTTTGCTCGCGAATAGGCCGACTCGTACCATGCATGCATGCACCCTGCATTTACCGGGGCTCAGAAACATTATCTAGGTGGGAGGTGCATGATATTTTTATCAGGGGATCAGCATTCAGTTGGAGCCGTTTTTTATCCTTCAGGGTTTGTGAGTCTCGGGGGTATGGAGGATGAAATGATGCTAATAGCGAGGGACGAGAGGGCGACACACACATGCAGACAAACCCAAATACACCAATGCCCGAGGCGGGACTCGAACCCGCGATCTTCTGGTCCGAGACCGTTACGGCACTACTGTCTTAGCAATCTCGGCCATCTGATCGGCCGCTGAGTGTTTTAATACATGGATTTTTTTTTCAATTTTCTAAATGTCGAAGTCGGAATCATACCATACTCATAAAACTTCTAATATAAAAGAGTTATACGTGACCCATTCATGTATCGATCCATCCAAATTTTTGGATACAAAATTGCATGTATCTTTTCTCCGTCTGCACCAATCTCAACTATCTTTGAAATTGTCCTAATTCACCTTGTACTAACGTCTGAGCAGTGATACAGCTGAAACATCCTTATACAAGGATTTTACGATCGATGTTCCTTGTCATGTTGCAGTTCCTCCCTATACTATAGTAAAAAGATACAGGATTAGGTTCTATTGCGATAATTTGTGAAAATAAATATTTGTTTCGTCAATGCTTAGTACGGGGCTAATTAGCACTCGCTTA